TCATCAGATAACGTCCAAACTCACAGAGGCACTTCCAAAGATTGCGGTGACACTCAGAGTGCCTCTCTTCACTTCCTGTCAACATTTAAAATGTGTTTACACTGATAAGGTGTTCTTTGGATGAACCTACATATAAACAAAGAAGGTATTTCCACACTGGCTTGCTTTCAACCTTAAGCAATTATGTTTGTCTAACTCAATGTCTCCTAACTTTTTAACTAATTTGAAATTAATGAGTTAAGTCGAACAAACTTCCATTAAGTCCAACTTCAGTTATGTCCAACTTCAATTATGTCCAACTTCAATTAAGTCCAACTTCAGTTAAGTCCAACTTCAATTATGTCCAACTTCAATTATGTCCAACTTCAATTATGTCCAACTTCAGTTAAGTCCAACTTCAATTATGTCCAACTTCAATTAAGTCCAACTTCAGTTAGGTCCAACTTCAATTAAGTCCAACTTCAATTAAGTCCAACTTCAGTTAAGTCCAACTTCAATTATGTCCGCTTATAAAATAAATGCATTATTATTATTATTATTATTAAACTGCAATTAACTCCAACTTCAATTATGTCCAACTTCAATTAAGTCCAACTTAAATTAAGTCCAACTTCAGTTAAGTCCAACTTCAATTAAGTCCAACTTCAATTATATCCAACTTCAATGAACTCCAGCTTCAATTAAGTCCAACTTCAATGATGTCCAACTTCAATTAAGATGGACACAAGCATCGATAATAAGGTGGATAAATACCTATATTAATATATAATATAAATCAACCTTAATAAGTTACGTAAATTCAGTTCTACCCAAGTATAGTTAATACACATCCATCTTCTACGGCTTATCGTTGACTTTAATTAAATGCATTAAATCAACAGATTACACATAATTAGGTTAGTCGGAAGTTGATAGTATCAAGTTGAACCTATTCATTTTTATTTAAACCTAATATTATTGCTTTCAACTAACCTAGTTATCTATTGACTTAATAGATTGAATTAAAGTCAACAATGACATGTTTTCAGTTTACGCTGAATCAACCCTTGCAATTTAAATGGCGACCGAACCCAATTAAATTAAATCAGACAAACAGAATTGCTAAATATATCAGAGTTAGAGTTGTTACAGCAGAAAAGAGCCAAAGACAGCTTAATGTTAACTAATATTATGCAGATAATACTTTCCGTGTTGTATTCAGGTTCATCCGAAGAGTTATTTTTGAGTGTTTGTGTGCAGAAGACGGGAGTAAGAGTCGATTAATGTTTCATTTCAACCCCCAGAGCTGAGAGTCGAGCCTCTCAAAGACTTCCGGTGCTCTCCATGAATGATTAGTGAGAAACGAATGGCACACGATGCACTTTACACCCGAGAGATGGACCTCAGTCAGGATTTAAAAGAATGTAAAACTCCAGATTCAGAAGATAATACACGGACGGAAAGACGTTTTTATTTTTTATATATATTCACAGATTTTAGACTTTTACTATTATATCGCCTTTACGTGCACGGACGGTCGCATAAAGGCTCGTCTCTCAGCTCACTACAACCTTCAGATATTAATCAGATATATTCTCATGTTTATGAAAGTGCATGACCGTGAGGAAAGAGGAATGGAAGGAGGGACATTATTTACACGTGTTTAGTGAGTAAAATGAAACGTACGGAAGCCCTTAAGTGCCATTTTTCATGTTTCACCATAATGAGTATAAAAAATGTTGTCTCGAGATCAGGACTTATTAACTTACTTATATATACTTAATTGATCCTTATCTTAAAGAAAAAAAAAAATTTTTACCAAGGATTTTCTTGAGATTTCCAGATAAAAAAACGATTTTTTTAAAATGACAAAATGAATTTAGAATCACAAAAATGATATATAATATATTAAACTACATAATGTTTGTCATTATCGACTAAATATAGCATTTGTAATCTAAAAAGAAGAGAAATATCTTCGTATTTTGAGAAAAATCAATGAAAGGTATTCATTCAAAATGGCTGTTTTGGGCGTCCGTACTTTTGCATGAAAACTGTTGCATAGAAAATAAAATATGTACATTTCTATTTCTATGCATGTAAATCAAATGAAAATTGCCTGAAAGATGAAAAGTCCCCTTACAATTACATTTATTTGATGTATTTGATTCTATATAATGTATTGTGAATCTGTCTTCTATCCAGACATTAACATTGCTGAATCTCTAAAGTGCAAAACTTTTATTGCAAGATTTCTCAGAATTTTCGTCAATTTTTCAACTTTTATTTGTATTTTGTAGACAAACCTGCACAGACACACTGATTACTGCAATATTATTCCATAAAAAGATAATATGGCACGACAGATGTGTGAACACCACTCTGGAGATACGACAATGTGATTTCGTGCATAGAAATGAAAATGTACTCGTACGCATATCTTGAGTTGGAAGTTCTTAGTTTTCACTGAAACCTTGTTTTCCGTTCTTCTAAATCACGTGTGAATAATTTAGCAGATCTGCAGCCTGTAATCAATACTCCTGTGTTTACACTCACTGCTACAGGGAGAGAAATACGACAGGTAGATGCAGCACTTTTACTCCAGCGCTACGAATGTTTGTGTAGATATATGATTTCTGATTCGCCCGGTAACTCATGCTTAAGCTTAAAAAAGAAAAAGCGTTTTTCACCAAGATAAGAAGTTTTTGTTGAGATTTACAGATAAGAAAAGTTTTTTTTCAAGATGACAAAATGTAAGAGAATAGATGTCATATATCAAACTGTATAAAGTAGGTATTTATAGCAAAAAAACAACATTTGTGGATAGGACTGTAGACAGAAAATGAAGCATCATGTAATTTGGGTGTTTTGGGGGGAAATCTACTGACAAAAATCAACAGAAGTAAGAAATGAAACTCCTAAATGTGGATTTTTGAAGTTTTATTTAGAATTTCTGAGAGAAAGATGATGAGTTACCGGGTAGAATATAAATTCCCTCAAAACAAATCAGCACTTTTTTTCACAGCCGTACCTTAGAAAGCTCACCTTCACAGCCTCATGATGGAAACTCCCGCAGTTATTAGTATTTCTTTTCTTAATTGTGTATTAACTGAAGATGAACCGTGTGTTTTGGGGTGTTTTCATGGTTCTGTGTGATGATAGGAAATCAGGATTTCAGCTACACACCTTGTTTCTGTGTATCTTTTGTATTCTTTTTTTAGGAGGATTTTCTTGGTCTTATATTGTGTATTTGTTTTGTCTTGTACCACAGTATAGCCATTATCAATGCGTGTCAAGTCATGTTTGAACTGAAGAAAAAAAAAAGACAGATCAATATATATGAAGCAAAATAAACACAATCATTTGTACAGACGTGTCTCTCATTTCTTTTTGAAAGGGGCTTATTAATATGCTAAATGTGTCTCTACTTTAAAGAGTCCTCTCCTGCTGATGTTCAGGTGTATATCAGTATGTAGTGTCTCTACTTTAAAGAGTCCTCTCCTGCTGATGTTCAGGTGTATATCAGTATGTAGTGTCTCTACTTTAAAGAGTCCTCTCCTGCTGGTGTTCAGGTGTATATCATTATGTAGTGTCTCTACTTTAAAGAGTCCTCTCCTGCTGATGTTCAGGTGTATATCAGTATGTAGTGTCTCTACTTTAAAGAGTCCTCTCCTGCTGATGTTCAGGTGTATATCAGTATGTAGTGTCTCTACTTTAAAGAGTCCTTCTATCTATCTATCTAGTTAACAATACCTTTTCAGTGCAGCAGGGGT